TTTTTCTCTGATTCTCCATTCCCCCTCTCAAAGCTTGTATCTCCATTCTCCATACCTTTGAATCAATAAAATACCCGGCGACTGAAGCCATTGAAGAGTGGACGTAGGTCGAATTGACCGAACCACTATAAATTGTGTCTTCTTTAATTTTATCGTTGATTTCATTGCATTTATTATCTATACTTGACAGGTGGTGTGCAAAACCATTTTTGTGCATCATCAGTTTGGCGCCGTCTGTGGGAAACGACAAAATTCTCACTCCTGAACATTACGTCCATTAATTAATGGCGATCACTACTCGATCCATGAACCAACACGAAGACAATCCTCCACGAGAGGAGGAGGTTGCTCCCCCGCCTGCTAACCCTGTTCCGGATACTTTGGTCCCGAATCCCCAACAAATATTGGAGACCATGCAGCAACTGGTTGCTCAAAACCAACAGTTACTGCAACTCATACTTGCAGGACAAGGGGGAGCACCACACGGAGGTGCACAACGCGGAGCACCACATGGAGGTGCACAACATGGAGGACCCCACAGAGGTGCACAACATANATGTTTATGTATTTAAATTTTCAAATTATCTCTAACATCTTTTTTAATTCTCTATTTACTATGTATAAATATCAGTATCTATACAAAAATTTAATTGACTACGTTATCCTTTAAAAATATATGCATCACTATAGTTTTCAACACTGTGTTCAAAAAATCTTCAAAACTTTCATCAATCTAAGATTACTGATTTCAAATATAAAGATAACATTATGCTTATGTATTTATATTTTTTTGTCCAAAATTTTAATAATTTCATTTTTAAGATAAAAAAATATTCTTTTATGTTGTTTTTTTAAAAAATAATTTATGATAAATCAACATAATTCTTCAATTACTATAAACTTTTCATGTTTTATTAAGAGTTTATATAAGAAAAATTATAGTGTATTTTTAAGTAAAACTTGAATTTTAGAATTTTAATATTATTTTAAAATATATATTATAGAATAGTATATTATAGTTTAAGATTAATAACACTTTTAGTCCCTGAAATATANAATAGTATATTATAGTTTAAGATTAATAACACTTTTAGTCCCTGAAATATACATGTTTTATTAGTTTGGTCCTCATTACATCAATTTTATCAATTTGGATTCTAAAGTTAGTGGTTTAAATGATCTATACACAAATAATTTATTATATTTTTGACNCATGCCCAGGTAAGCCAAACCCAAAGCGCCATTGAAAACCACAGAAGAAATTGATAATGATGAGTTGCATTTAGAGGGTGGTAAGGCTCCAACTTTGGTCGATGACTTGTATAAAACAATAAATAGGAAGACGAGCAGGAGGAGTGTANTTGCATTTAGAGGGTGGTGAGGCTCCAACTTTGGTCGATGACTTGTATAAAACAATAAATAGGAAGACGAGCAGGAGGAGTGTATCAGCAGAAATGATCAAAACATGGTTGGTACATGAATATGGATCATCAATGGCAGATAAAATAGAACTACAATTGACTCTGACTCCATTTGAACACTCAGAGTCCCCACAGAAGATGGTCCATATACTTTCAGCCATTTGCAATTCCGACTTCAAAAACTCTTTACTGTCAGTAAGGAGGAAAACACATCAGGCTTGTATATGGTGCTTTAGGGAAGCCATGAACTTGATCATGGAGCTTATATACTGTATATGTATATAGACACACACACACACCCCTTGAAATGAAGGCAAAAACAGTGAATTTAGGTGACGTTATAACACTACAAATTAAATGATTGCAGGTAATACTACAACCATTGGTACCTTAATGTTTTCCTAATCGTGAGAATTATTTGTTTGCTTTCAATTCAAACTAATGTTTTCTTAGCAAACACTTGGGATTAAAAAAACCTAGAATCCCAGTAGTCTAAGTAAACCACCTATCACAGTATTTTATATAATTAGTTGTTGGCATTTGGACCTAATTTTCCTAGCCTGAATGGCATATTGCTACGTGAAACATGCTAATTATTTTGATAGGAGAGAATCTTATTTCAATTATACTTGGGGTATCAGAACCGTCCATCTCGTTGTAGCTATCACCTTAGGGGGGCAGGCTGAGGCTGAGGCTCACACATAAAGTTTTCTGCAGAGTCATTATAATCATTGCAAAGGTTAATACAACATAAATGGTGTGGATCCCATCCCATTGCATCCATAATGCATTTCATCGGTCAACAGACAGTGTAGGAAAAATAAAATCACATGAAACAAGAGAGAATGGGTACGAAGAAATATCATAATTGAGCTATCATT